CAACTTCAAAAGATTACTCGTGTTCTGTTTTTTTAAAAATAGTCATATTTTTCATACCTTAGAAGGAATTGTAGTTTGGAGCTATTCACTGGCACCAAATAGAAGTTAATCTAATTAATTTCAATAGATTAATATCTTGAATTTCAAAGCTTGCTATAATAAGTGTGCCAGCTGAATAGAGGTAACTAATGAAGCTGTTGATGGGGTGAATTTAAATGGCAAACACAGCCGAACCAAAACCGGTTTTGGAGTACATCATTTTGGTGGACGGGTGCGAAAAGCTGTTGTATTTTGATTTTGTAACATTTTTGCTGGGCTGTAACTGCAACAACATCAACAAAGTCCTACATCAAATAATGGCACAACCTACGCCTATTAGCAAGTATGGGGAGGTTTTGCATTCCATAATTAATCAATAGCTTATTAAACACAAATAATAAATAGACAACTTATAATGGTGCATTTTGTACACTACGCCTACAGCAGTAAGAATTTTGGCATCACACTTAAAACAAAAAATAAATATATAAAGTCTTCAAAACAAATAAATAGGATGATAAATAAAAACACGTATAAATACACAAATCATCAACATATAGTGCATGAGAAAAATATAAACATTTGGTTGTCAAAAATAAAGCTTTTGTTTGCGAGATCGGAAGCTGCGTTGGCGACATGGGACTGTAGCATTGTGACCATCCTGTGGCGTCTTCTATTTTTTAAACTTCGTTTTCTACTTTTTTTGACAACAGCATTTTGGACGTTGGCCTCGTTTTAGCCACATGCTGCTCTTCAGCAAACAATAAAAAACCTAAAAGTAAAAACACATTTAAATATATAAAAAACTAAAAACAAAAAAACCCAATATCTAATGTGGGCTGTTGGAATATATCTGGCGTGAAATGAAAAAAGTAAAAAATAAAATTAAAAAACTGGCTAGCAAAAGCACCGGGCAACCAATCACATTCAAAACCATGACAGGGCTGCGCCTGTTGCCGGGGGGCGTCTGTTTGCTGCGCGTCATTCCAAGGGATCGAGAAGGAGTCGGGGGCGTTGTTCGGGGTTCAGCTGATCCATGCAACAATGGAGGGGGGGTTTAGCCCCGCCTCCCTTCCTCACACTCCAATCACAAGTCAGTACGTTTTTGCTCCCCCCCCCCCACCCTACCCCTGTCCTCCGTTTTTCAAACTCCTTGTGGGTGTATGTTTTGCATCTCCGCCCCCCTCCAGCCAGCTCAAGATGCAACGTCATCACAGACGATCCATCCTGAAGGCGTCTTCGGTGGCGGGGTCGGCCAGGACCATGTCGGGGTCGTTGAGCATGTGCAGTCCATCCAGGGTCAGCGGGTCAATCTTCAGCTCGTCCAATGGGAATTGGGAGTCGGCGTCAAAGCTGACGTCCCCGACACCAGCCAGCGAGTTGGTTAGCTCCTTGGAGAGACTGGGCGGAGACTCCCCCTGTGACTGGTCGACATGGGAGGAGGAGGCAGGGCATCACACATTACTACGCTAGGAGTAGTTCACAAACTGTTGATTTGTGCTATTTTCATATTTTTTTTGCTGTAGCTTTGAATTTAGAACGCACTTTGTGACTTACCATCTCAATAGCACTGTTGAAATGTACTATATGATGCAACTGTTATGCACTACCATTAAAGGTCCTTGCCATTGGTTATATTTCATGCTTTATTTACTAAATGCGTAAAATCACTTAATGTAAATGTGACTCCAATATGTACAATTGCAATCAATGAATCAATCAAAACAAGGATGATGATGATGAGGGAGGGGTCAAGGGGGCGTGTTGGCCTGTTTGTACCTGTGAGGATGATGTTGGGGATGTTGCCGTGGTTACTGTATCCCAGCTGCTGGGAGTCCTGCAGGCTGCTGCCGGTGAGGCCCATCATGGCCGCCTGGGTGTAGTTGAGGGTGGAGCACTGGCTGAACAGACTGGTGGAGCTGATGGGGTTCTCGATCATGTTGAACTGCTCCAACTAGAGGGAAACAGGTACTTAATACAAGCAGTACAGATTTAATGTCAATATAAATGTTCTTAACATTTACGTTCTAGAGCTCCCTATTTTACCACCAGCTGTGATGTTGATAAGCCGTTACAAGCCATTTCCCGAAATCTACCCTTTAAGTGACATCACACATGGGAGACATCCACCTAGACACATGATGGGATAGATCAGCCTACCAGTTGGTACGGTCCATCCATCTCATGCATCCAAAACAATAACCACATCACACTTGGTGGTAAAACAGGGTCCCTTCAACTGCAACTGATCGGCTGCTAGATTCTTTCACCTGATGGGAGAGAGCATTGGTCTGCCTCGATGCCAACTGTTGGTCGTAGAATGAGTCCCCGAATATGCTGCCAACAACAGGAATGTGCTGGAAGGGAATAAATTAAAATATAACGTGAATGTTTAACCTTGGGGGGGGGGGGTAGCTGTCAAACCGCCGCAATGCCATGAAACAGCAAAAACAGACCCAAACAGAAGCCGGGGAAATGAGTTTTAGTCAGTAGGGCCGGCGGAGTCCCATGGGAGCGTGTTTCAGCGAGGCGATGACGGAAGAAACAAGCAGAGTCAGTAAGAACGAACATTGACCAGACCGAAGCAGGATGGATTCACAATGCCACAAAACACAACCAATCCCCCATAGAATACAAAAGCAATGAGGAAACACGCTCCACCAAGCATGGATGTTCGTCCAAAGCAAGATCATGTCAACGAGAAAACCTTTACAGAGGAATTCTGGCCATGAATGGGAAAACTGGACACCTTTACCAAGTTTATTAAAATGTTAATATAACCTCAACTGCACGTAAACATGACAATATACACAGTTTCTATGAATCACAATGTAAAGAAGATAGCAAGGACAGAGATGTGACTAAATAAGTGTTTTGTTGGATACAACTGTTCAGAGCACATGCTTTGTCAAACAGTGCAATACTGTTCTATAACCTTGGCTTACTGCATACGGCAACTGCCAATATTTTTGCGACTGGCAGAACATATTTAAAATCATGTCTTTATTTGCATGCATGACGTGTTATTCCCCATAGTGTGCATGTCACACATGACAAACTTGTTTGTCACACATGACAAAACAGTACAGTTTCTCAAACTCACATGCTCCAACTGTTTTTGATCAACTGCAACTGTAACAGCAAAAACGCCAGCCAGTCAAACTTTGTAGTGCCAGGCTTGTTAAGATGAAACGTAAACCATTGGTGATATTAAAAGATTCAAAGCGCATTGTAGGTTGTAGCCCATGCTGCCATGTTCAGACTCAACAGTTCATTGGTTCAACAGCCCCGGAGTAACGGAAGACGCTGGAGAACTTGGTTGACCTTCGACCTATGCCACCTCGCTATCGTTCTCATGCACGTGGCGAGAGGTGAGAGGAGAGAGATGGTGGCGGCACGACGACGCATGGATGAAAAGCAGGTGAAAGAATCAAGAGGCAGTTTGAGGACAGATCACAGTGTTGGGTTTCCCCCCACCACCCCCCACAGGTGCCATTAAAGCCCCGTTCCCCCCCGGTACGGAGGCTAGCAGCTAGCGACTAGCAGCTAGCTCGGTGGGCAGGCTCTTACTTGGGGCGAGCCTCCCGGAGAGAAGCCTTGATTGGAGACGGGGGAGGTTGGAGACTGATTGGCTGGGGAGCCAGACTGATTGCGGTACTGTTGGAGGGAAGAGCATTAGCTAACACACAGCTACTGTAGTGTATGAAGGCCGCCAACAGTTTGCCTTCTTTAAAAGGCGACAGTGCTATGATACCTGGAAGTCAGGGGGAGATCCATGTTGGATAATGCAGTCTATGGGGGAATACGTCTAATGGAAAAGATATTAGAGTACAAAAATTTAACAGTCAATACGTAAAGCTCTATTGAGCCTTAAAAACAAACATAAATAAACAAAGAAAAACATACAGAATGTCCAAAGAATCTTGTCACTTACAACCAGTGTGGGTATTTTATTCTTTCTCCTGTATGCCGACGGACTAACAGGACGCTTTCACTTTCCCAGAGGGCTGGCCAAGGGTCGGGGTAGCAACTCATATCGTACCATACGTTTGCAGTTAAAAAACCAACAACAACAACATGGACTCCTCACCCCAGCCCGCAGTCCCTAGAAAGTGTCCGCTCACCGAGCTGATGTTGATGCTGGAGCCGTCGTGGTTCAGGCCGTCGGTGATGGAGCCGGTGGTGGTGATTGCAGAGGGCAGGGTGATGAGCCTGATGCCCTGGGGAAGGACCTGTTGTTGCTGCTGCTGCTGCTGCTGCTGCTGCTGCTGCTGCTGCTGCTGCTGCTGCTGCAGCTGCTGTTGCTTGTGGAGGTCACTGAGCAGCTGGGCCTGGCCCTGGGCGCTCAGCTGGTTGAACAGAGGGTACTGGGACAGCTGCAGCTCCAGGGACAGAGCCTCCATGGGCACTGCCTGGGAACCCAAATGTTATTATTATCATGTTCATTCAGATACAGAGTAAGGGCAGGATAGTACGGTGCCCCTGAGAGCTTGGCGCACTACAAATCAAGAATGCAACAAATAGACAGAACAAGAGCACATTAAGCACATCTGCATCAATGGTTCGTGACTCATAACATTATTGAAGTCGGCTATCTCTCAGTATAGCCGACTAAAATATGTGTTCGAGATCACAATGTCAAAAAAACCCAGAAACACTTAACATTTTAGCAAATTTTCCAACACCACTGATGGATAGCCGACTTCAATAACATTATGAGTCACTTTTAAATGTCCTCTGGAAACACTTCCGTTACAACGGTAACGGAAGTGTAATGTGATGTAATGTGTTGTGATGTAATGTGTTGTGTTGTGTGTAATGTGTTGTGTTGTCTGAATTTGCAGCGCGTTTTCTAAATGCTGTGCATCTGTTTTCAAATTGATGAGGTTTTCTTAATTTGCTTGCATTTTTTCTATTTGCATGTTTCTTAAGTTGCAGTGGGTTGAGCTCTCAGGGCCACCGTAGGGTAGCCTTGTGGTGAGGGTGTTGGACTCTAAAGTTCTGGGTTCAAAAAGGTTCTGGGTTCGATCCCCAATGTCTACATCCTTGAGCAAGATGCTTAAATGACTGCTCCTGAATGACAAGTCGCTTGGGGTAAAAGCCTCTGCTAAACAGACTAAATAGTAATGCAACACCACTGTGTTTAGGTAAATGCGTAAAGCATTAAGGCATTTCTCTACCTTTTGACTTTTTTTCTCTACCATTCAACTACTTCTCTACTTTTACTTATCTCCTATTCTGGCCGCTGCTCATGAGGGTTGGTTTGCATAGAAAGCAGTTCCCGCCGGTGACTACGACTGAGTGCAATAGGAGACGCTACCTTCTTGCCTGTGTGTTGGTTGCCATGTTAGTGTTAGGCTAGCGGTGGGTAGTGTTACCTGGGTGAGGTTTCCAGGGGAGGACAGGGTGGGGGAGAGCTGCTGGGGTGACTGCTGGAGGGGGAGGTCAGAGCTGAGGGTGAGAGGGACCACCGAGGGCTGCCTCCGCTGTGATGATGTTGTGGGCTGGGAGGAGACCGGCATACCTGGCGGAACAACACAACATTAGCACATTATTGAGAAGAACCCATCGCAGGTTAATTGGGCTGCATCGTTGTCTCTATGGGCATGATAAGGTAGGGGTTTGGGTGTATGGTTCTGGGTTCAAACCCCCATATCCACAGCCTATCTGTAGGCATCCGTGAGAAAGATGCCCTAACCCCTACCTGCTTCTACAGATACCCTATATCTGTGAATACGTACGTATACATACATAGATATGTATTCAGTCACTTTGGATATAAGTTTTTTCTAAGTGGCTAGTAGTATCATACTATAACTATAATACTACACAAGGTTATGGTATGCCTTACATAGCAAATAGCCACTACAATAAACAGCATTCGGCACCATCATTTGCGCGTCAGAGAGTTACCCTACAATTCCCTTCCAGAATAATACAGAAATAATAGTTAATAGTAGGTTAAGGGTTCAATACGGGCTAGGGCTGCAGCTATCGAATATTTTAGTAATCGAGTACTCTACTGAAAATTACATCGATTAATCGAGTAATCGGATAAAACGTATTTTTGCTTGGTTAAAGAGCAATTACGAATACACAAGAGAAAATAACATATTTCACTTAATAATGAATGACCAATTGGTTTCCTTTTTTAGAATCAACTGTTTTCATTTAGCAAGTATTTTCTGGTCTTGAAACATTACCAAAGAGGCAACTGCTAACATAAATAAGAATAAGTAAAACACAAATAAAATTAAATTACTTTCAAGATAACAAAAATAAATAAAATAAAATTACTTTCAAGATATCAAAAATAAACAAAATTACATTACTTTCAAGTTATCAAAAACATAAGGCATTTATTTTGCAGTGTCTTTTTGCAGTGTACAATTAAGACAACTACTGTATTGGAACACAATAACCACACACATAATCAATAGAGTGAGACACACTGTGACCAGCTACGTAGTAGTTGACTAAATTTTACAACTGCTTAATTAACTTTATTATGTTTTTATTTCCATCTAGACTCATCAGCGCTGTCCTTTTAAATTTTAAATCAACCCTCTATGAAGTCATGTCGTCACGCTCGTAATAAACTAACCACAAACTTGACAGTAGTCAGTCATAATTAACAAAAACCTAGCCCTCTGCAAGGCAGGCGTTTATGTTCGTAAAATATATTAACGTTGATCAAACTGATTTGCTACGTTAATATTACCTTGTCTCCGGTCCTCCGCTCAATAGAGCGTAACAGTGACCGCCCCTTTTTTAACAGCAACGGTGCCGGAAGTAAATTTCCCATGCATTTATCTCGTCCACTTTTCGTAGAACCCTTATAAAAAGAGTATTAAGCCTTTAACCAAGCCAATCGTTCGTTATGGTAGTCGTGACCATATTATGTTTGATTCGGGCATAAAAAGAATTTGGAAAACGGAAGAAAAGGCAAAGGTAGACTGTGTACATTATTTTGTGAACAAGTGAATGAACTACTCATCCCATAAACCATTGCGAACCCTTTCCGACAACTTCCAACCCGATAGTTTAGCGTGCTTCTTGCACCTTTGTAATTATTAGTGTTTATATTTTTAATAAAAGTTGTGTCATATATTGTGTGTGTATGTATAGTGTTTCATAGTGTATATAGTGTTGTCATCGACATGGTACAGTCCTGACTGCAATCACCGCTCGCGCGTCCAACAATGCCGATTCCAAATGTGTGTCGGCTAAGACAGGGTGTTATATAAGGTAATAACGTTTCTCGTTTTTAATACATGTGATTTTAGTTACGTATTCATTCAACATGATGTATTCCTAGGCTTTATACTACCCAAATTACTATACAACACTGCTATATCATATATTTTTATTTTGTTTTTAATCATATATCATCATATATTCTATATCAACATATTTTTCAATATGTACAGCTCATTTCATCTACAGCTCTAACAACAACTCTAACTTTCCATGAGTCTAAGGGAAATCATGGTTGCTCTGTGCAGGCCCGGCCCAAGCCTCTAGGAGGCCCTAAGCAGGATTCGATATTTTTGGGGGGGGGGGGGGGGGGGGGGGGGGGCTGGCGGAACATTTTGGTTGCGCGATTGTTGAGCGGGGGGGGGGGGGGGGGTGGGTTGGGGGCAGCCGCTTAGTTCGCTTATGCCTCGGGCCGGCTCTGGCTCTGTGTGGTAAACGATCGAGTTCAGTGGTAGCCGTAATCGACGACTTGACTTTCGTAGGTTAACGTTTCCATGGTAACAGCGAGCTCCACCAATCAAAGATGTCATGTTACACTTTAGGATTGTGGGTAATGCAGTCCATCTAAATGACATCGCGAATAAAACTTGTTTTTTTGAAACCTTCCTTTAGTTTTTGGTTACTAAAGTTGCCTATCCTATCATTGCACAATAAAACGGCCGGTTGTAAGTATACATTGTATGGTTACGACGTAATGGCTTTTAATCAAAATCTCGACGGGAAAAATGAATGGGATTTTTACTTCCGGCACCGCACTGTTGCGCTCTATTAAACTAACGATTCCTTGAGGCAGAAAAAAATCCTCGGACCATTTTTTGTATTCGAGGTACTCGAATTACTCGAGGAATCGTTTCAGCCCTAATACGGGCAATAGAGTTAGGGTTTAATACAGTCAGTTCCCGCATTAAGCTGTGTGTGTTTTATTTAGATTTAGGTTTTTGTTGTTTGTCAATGTTCATTTACCTCCCCATCATTTATTCATGTTCCCTCTCTCCCTCACGTCCTACGACCACTACACCTGAGTGTTTGGATGTTGGTTGCTGTGATTGGTTACCGTGGCTGGCTGAGCCGATGCCCAGGTGGGAGTGGTCGGTGGACAGGCTGCCGGTGCTCCCGGAGGAGCCGAGGGCAGGGAATGAGACGGTGTCATCGGGGTCCAGCGGGGTGGAGAGCGGCGGGGGGAACTGGATGTTGGTCAGGTCAGGCAGCGAGCCCCCTGTGTTGTGGGCTGCCGGGAGGATGGACGGGTTCACCTCCAGGTCTGGTGATGGGAATATGCTGGAGGAACATAACATCCACGCTGAGTTGAAGACAGTGGGCCTTATTCACCGAGCAAGGCTAGCTGGACTGAGGGAACTGAACGACAAATTCCCCATTCAGTTCCCCTACCCAGCTAGCATTTTACCAGCGTTTGTTTACCTTGGCAGCCAAGCTTTCTAGTAATGAAATGTAGAAAGGCAATATTTCACCCATTGACATACAGTCTCTCTCTTGCTTGTATTTGATGGTGGGTAGGTGAAAAATTGCGTTAACAAGCCATCTCCACACAAAACACAAGTAAAAACAGTTACAAACAAAAGTAAATAAGGTACAAACCAAAGTCAATAAGTTATGTTACAATAAGTTATGTTACAATAAGTTATGTTATCTACTGGCTAATCTAATCATGTAGGCGAACTCGGATGAACACTTTTTTTTTACTGTGTGTGGGCGAGCATCACAATATAAAAAACATCAACTTACTTGATTCCTGGAACATCGCACACTTTAGGGCTTGAACAATCATCCTGAGGACGAAGCAGAGGTGAGGAACCCTTCTTTAAATGGTGTCCGATGGCCAAAACAACAGTAGTCCATTCACCATATTAGACAACAGAAGTCCCCAGATGTATACATCCGTGTGATCCATTGATCGTATCACTGAACTGATTCGTCAAGGGGTCGAACGGTGTGTGTGTGTGTGTGTGTGTGTGTGTGTGTGTGTGTGTGTGTGTGTGTGTGTGTGTGTGTGTGTGTGTGTGTGTGTGTGTGTGTGTGTGTGTGTGTGTGTGTGTGTGTGTGTGTGTGTGTGTGTGTGTGCACAGACGTGCGCATGTGTGTGTACTAAAGATGACTCGTGTGACCTTTCTTGTACCTTCTTGTCATCCCACATCTGTTCCAGCGAGTCCTTCTCCGTGTTCGAGTCAGGGCTCTCTGTCCCAGGTACCGTGAGCAGGAGCACTGATTGGTTGACGCAAACAAAAAAGAAGAAAAGAGCGGAGAGATTTACTGACCGACAGTACATCAATATTCATCATCCAAACCCGGCCAAAGACCAAGATATGAGTCATCAATGTCCCCAGTTGGCCCAAAGCGGACACAGATCTCTGCTGAAGTATCAAGAGTAAAAAACAGGCTGTGTGTTTGTGCAAAGTGCAAACAAAATGGTGCTCTGGGCAGGCTGGTCTCATAATGGTGAGTTTGACTCCCAGCTGAAAGGTTCTCGGTTCGAACCCCAATGTCCACAGTCTAGCCCAGGGGTCTCCAACGCGTAGCTCGCGAGCTACCAGTAGCTCGCTGCCCCTTTCCAAGTAGCTCGCCAAAGGGCCAGTGAATCATACATAAATTTGAAAACTTAATTGGTCCCTCGGCACATCTACTTAAATTTATGTCCAATCAAAATTCACAGTTGTCCCGCCCCCTTCCAACACAAAATGATTATTAGCCAATTAGCTGTCAATCAAAAAGTCACGCTGCTGTCAAACTTGATGAGTCAGTGGTGACGTGAGATGAGCGAGAGTGGACAT